TTTTGCATTATATCAAGTATTAAGAATATAGTCATTAGGGTCTGCAAATTGGAGGAGAGAGTTATCAATTAATCAGTGGTTATCTCCCTTTAACCCTCTCTCTCTCTCTGCTTTTTCATTTTTAAAAGTACTTTTTATTACATAAGATTTCATGAGGTGTGAGCAAATTTTTGTTCTGAAGATGCGGCCTAGATAAAAATCTTTGGGAATCACTGTGTTAAATGGTAAAGTGAATTTTGGTTTGTTGTTAAAAGTAATTTCCCACAACAATTAGTTTTATTATTAAAAGATTTATCCCATTTTTGATTAATAATAAATATTTCATATTGCAGAAAATAAATTTGAATTTTCCTCTTGTTAAAATAGTCCCTAATAATTAATGTAGTTGATTGAACATCCAACATTTTTTTTTGGTTAAATAAGTCAAAGGTGAGAAAAACACTGTCTTTGATATGAATACTAGGCCCTTTGCAAAGCCACTAACAAATTTCCAAAGTATTTTCTACTGAAACAAATGGTCAGTTTGTTCTTTATTTATCATATAGACTTTATAACATCAAGCATTGTATTAAAAAGTTTATTTATCCTACTGTTACTTTTTACTTATATATATATATATATATATATATATATATATATATATATATATATATATATATACACATACAAGTAAAAATATGACCTGCAGTCTCAGATACATGGCCAAGGGACAACAGATCAATAAAGATTTCTAAGAAGCAGAAAGAATATTCCCCATTTCGTTCTCTTAGTTTTATTTTGTATTAATTATGTTAATTTATTAAATTAATGTATAAAATATATCCATTCCATGATTTCCAAATGACAAAAAAGAGAACCTAAGTATCATTGATATTTTAAAGTAACTGATCAAGAGTATTTCATTTATTATGCAATTTTGTACAAATAAAATTATTTTATAAAACATTTGAGGTTCTATGGCAATTACTGATTAAATAAATGCCTTGTTAACTCCTTTATTAAATTAGATTTATTTCTTTATCTGTACCATCCTCACTTGAAAGCTTCCAAAAACTATTTTGTGAAACAAATTAACGACTTCTAATGAAAGTATTTCTTTAGATAATGTGGAGTACATTATTAATGACATGCAGAAAAAAAATCTAGAGAGTAATCTCCCTTGAAACAAGAACCAAGATTTATGCAAAAATAGTCTTTCTAACAATATTACTATTATCTTATTACTGTTACAAAACAGCAAAGATTGACAACACGAGAAATAGTCAAAATATCTTTTGAAATTATAATGACTTCTTAAAATTATAGAAGGTAAATATAATTACTAATAAATTATTACTTATTTATATAATAGTAATTCTAAATATATATTTTGTGGTACAAAACTTTATAACTGCCATAAATAGACAAAAATTATTGAATGGTAAATGCGTCCGGTAAATGGTAAATGAGTTCAAAGGCTGGATCCTAGAATAAAGCAACACGTTCCAACGAAAATCCAAAACCTTAAGTACACTCCTTCAGACATTCTGACCAATACATACGAGTCTTCCATTGCAGAGGACCTAATAAATAGCCATAATTGTGCTGCTAGTTTTAGTGTGGACTCATTTACCATTCTTAGCAGGTCCCACTTGAATTACCACTTAAAAATGTTGGAGGCCATCTATATTCTATCTTTGAAGCCCTCTCTGTGTAAACAGAAGTACTTCGTATTAGGCCTCCAACTAATTTCCATCTAAAAATTTTTTTTTCTTTAATTTCTTTTCTCCAATACACTCTTTGTTCATTTTTAGTGATAATTCAGTTTATTAACCTCGATTTAGCTCTGTTGAATGAGGTTTGAAACTGGTTAGCTAGTCCGTTTTTCAGTTTTACTTTTTATTATCATCATGAGTGGTAATAATAAAAATAATTTTTGTCTATTTATGGCAGTTATAATAGTAATTCCCTTTATCCATTAGCATTTTACTTAGATCTATAAAAAAAAAAAAGAAAGTCTGTTTGATGTTCTAGTACTTTATATTAGATTTTGTTTCATCAGAGAGTTCCTTATATAAATGCTATTGCCTTTACTTGACACAATTTTCTGGTAACCAATTAGTATCAATAGTATTTTGTACTTTAAGTGAAGTTCTTAATAAATTCTGATCACTATATCAGCAATATGACATAGCAAATTTCTTAGTCCAGAATAAGTATTCAAGTCTCATCCAAGATGGCTTCATTTCATCTTCCCACAATATGAAAACCAAAAATAGTCTTCACATCGAATAATTAAATCATATCTAGTTTTTTTTTTCTATATTTAATATTATTTAATATTTGTACTCAAGTAGGTCAAAAACGGGACAAAGATGTATATATAATTTAAGTAATTTTATAGTGTATTTGATATATAGAAGACCAAAGAGGTTTTTGACTGAATCGATTAAAATTAAAAGCCTTGATAGCATTTTGATGAAGTTCCTTCCCTTTATTTTCAAAATTTGTTAAATTATAACCTCTTTAGATTTGTTTACTTTTCTAATATCTAAAAATATTCATAATGTATTTTTATAAAGCATAGAAAATGATAAATCTTAGAAACATTATAAGCTGAACAGAAAAATTATCCCATGTAAAATGTTTCATTAAACTAAAAACATTAATTTAGGTAGAACAAAAAATAAAATACTAGCTGTAACTTTTGTTATTTTAAAACAAGTTTTGAGCAAAACAGATTTTCTAATGTTTTTTAATTCAATCAATGGAATTTATCAGCAGTGAACAAATTAAATTTTGTTTAAAATATTTAGAAAGAATGTAAAATCAAAATAAATTTATTTTATGTAAAACCTTTATCAATAAACTGAGACAGAGGACTAAAATAGATATTTATTAAACTTAGTCTGGCACAAGGCCACAATAGTAGAGCACCAGGTAATAACATAATTACACTAGTAATTACCTGCAAACTGCTATTGTACACAGATATTTACAAAGCTTGGTTTAATCTAGAACCATATTAATTAATTCAGTAAGGATCAAACTCATTCTGTGAGTCTTACTAAACATTTTTGTATACCAAGTGCACTCTTAGCAAGTTGAATATATAACTTTAAAAATAGTAAAGTTTTAAGTCTGTATTTAGTAACTTTAGTCAAATGCTTGATGAAAAGAAATTTATCACAATTTTATGTTTTTACAATTAATGAGTATAAAATGTAAACAAAAAGACAATCACATAAAAATTCCTCATCTTAAAATTTGAACTGTTTCAAATGGAAACCTTAGACAATATTTCTTAATTAACTCCATAATTATTCTTAACAATCAAAATGAAAAAAAAGATTGCTAAATAATCATGCTCTGTACACAAAACAATTGTACAAAAACTATTAGAACAATTCTTCAGAAGTCCATAGCTAACCATTTTTGAAATTGTCTTTGAATCTCTTACATGAAACAATATTATTTATTCTAGTCTTTCATTGTACTTATGTTACATTTTATTGTAAATCTCAGGTCATAATTCTATGACTTCAGTAATTGGAATTAAACTTGTCAGCGTCAGAGACAAGATAACGCATCTTAGAAAATCATTTTAGTGCCATAAAAAACTCATCTTACAAGAGTGTGTTTCTCCTGAAATGGAAAGTTGCAGATTTACATTAGTGATACAACAACAGTTTGCAGATCAGTGTTTTAAGATATTTCATATTCATTTCAATTATTCAAATATCTTAACACTTTTATATGTAGTAACATTCATTATTAACATGTGTTCCATTTTCATCAATTTCTACAAGAAAATCACAAGCAGTAGGAACATTAAAAAAACATTGAAATTCTTGGAAGCAAACAGAAACTTCCATTGAGATTCAAATTTCCATTTCTTATCCTTGAAAGACTCTCTTACCATGGCAGCTGCATTACCAATTAGGCTATGACAACTACTAACCATTATTATTAGCCAATATATGAAATGCAATGAAAAATGGAAGAAATAATAGTGCCTCATATATTATTTCTTCCATTTTTCTTTAAGTGAGTGAAAAGCATTGTGTAATTTATATTCATATATCTATTCATAACTACCTACGTACCTATTGTCTGTGTGTATATGCATAATGCTTCCAACACTACCCATTAACTAGACTGTCACAGGTTGTCTTACTACCCCATTGATCAGTTAATGATTCTATTAAAATGTAAAACTCATTCAATAGTACTGGCAAAGAAACTGACAAGGTATTTGGATACTTGCCCATATTTAACCACAAAAAATATTGCCTCTTCTCAAGACAGGTCATTGTATTAGGTTGGTGCAAAAATAATGTCGTTTTTTGATGTTCAACTTAACGTCAAAAACGACATTATTTTTGCACCAACCTAATATTATTAAAATATTAATTACTTATGCTGTACTCAGATATCAGTCTATCTCCTGGAGATCTATTTCCCAGACAGTACCTCCACATAGCACTAAAAAGTGTCAGGTCAATATAGTTATGTCTGCATGAATGCGGCAAGATCAACAAAACTGCACCTACCGTACACAAACTTGTACTGCATTTCATTATCTTGAGAGCATGAATACATTATGTTACATGACAGAAATGCATCATGGAATTTTTTAAGCTTTTATTGGTTTAATTTATATTTTTTTATTTATAATCTACCTTTTGTATTTAGAGCATCAATAAATATAAATTCTTCAGTTGTAGATAAGATGTAAATTAACTTTTTGTATGTTTGTTTTGTTTTTTGTTTTTTTTTAGTTTTGGGTCAAAAGTCAACATTAACAAAAAAAATTTAGAATATTTATGCCAAGAAATATTTGGACAGATTTGTCCTCCAACGCTCTAAAATCAAAAGTCTACCTTTACAGTTTATTCTTGCTTTTAACCATTTCAAATTTGTCTAGATTTTCTAGAATGAGTAAAAAAAAAACATTGACACAAAAAACAAAAAAAAAGCAAAGTATGTCATTGTTCGATTGTTTGTTTATTTGTTTGAAGGGTTCGCAGAGTGCATTTCGTCCAATTAACCAAGGATACATTCATCATGGAGGAAGTGGATCAAGTGATAGTTGCTTGAAGCCAGATATGGGCAGCAGTGACACAGACAACAGTCGGCCAAATACAGATATTTTGATGGACCATGAAATAGCAAGCCCAGGAAGTGACAGTGGCAGTTACACAGCTGGTATGTATAAAAATTTATCTAACCATATAATTTATTTACTTAGCTTAATTTGTCACAAGGTTAAAAGTTCATTAGGAAAAATTAAGTAATGCCAAACATCAAACTAATAATGGCTCATATATTTTGAACTGCTGACTTAACTCAAATACTATATTCAGCTGTTTTCTCAAATCAATGATTAAAAATGGTTCCGAGTAAATGAATTCTCCAGTTCTTAAAGAAGTCAGTACTTCATCAGATCCTATAGATTGGTGCTACCAAATTCCAGAGAAAGAGCTTTACCAAATAACAAAAACCACATCACATGAAAACTTCCAACAGTGGCAACAACTAAAATGAATAGCACATGTAAAAAGAAGGGAAAATAAGGATCCAATCAAGATGTTGACTTTCCACCTGACCTTAAACAAAATGTTAGGAAGGAAACTCCAATCAATACTAGAAAGAGCAATAAAAGTGGACTTGAGAAGTTTAATTTCTCATAAAACTGTTTTGAGAAAAAGATTTTATAAGTTTAGTTAAAATAATGCTGTTAGATCAATGAATGTCTGTTTCTTGTATGGAAAATGCTATTTTCATCATTATCATTACCGCAGGTGAAGCTACCTCACCTTATTGAGACAAAAAATAGAACTCCACTGACAACTCTATTTGAAAACCATTTGGTACATAGAGATAAATATGGCTGTTGGTCAAATGTGATGTATAAAGTTAGACTAATTAAAATGTAACCTGACAAGATTTAGCAAGCAGAATGTATTAATAGCTACGAAAAGTCACCCATCACTCATCAACAGATGGACACCGTCTCTTTGTATATTTAAAAAAAAAAAAAAATACTTTTCTCTGCTTTTTGAGTGATACCTAGCTCTGTTTTGTACATACAAAATCAGTCTGAAAACTATCCAACCATTTTGAATATCTTGTATACCATTTGGATGGTCTTTATGCCAAATGGTAACCAATTAGAAGGGACCATAGGGCATATTTATGAACAGAGACACTCCACTAGATTTACTTAGCTGACAATGAGATGCTGTTGAGTTTGTGTACCATATGACTGTCACATTCACAACTATGTAAGTTGAATTTTTATATCTCATATAGAGATTTTGGTAAATCATTTCATCACTCCAGATATATAAACACCCCAACAGAGTCATTTTTTTCTCACAGCCAAAATTAGTTGTTGAAACATCATGGAAGAAATAAAAGAGAATACAAAACAGCTGATGGTAACCCCAAAAGAAAACTTTGAAGATTGTTTTGAAAAATAGAAGGAATACTGGAATAAGCATATTAGGGCCCCAGTGAAAGTCATTTGAAGTGGACTATGCTTTTACCATTATTATTACAAAGCTTAACATTTTCTGGAGAAATCTTGTAAATGAATTTAAGGTCCTGCCTACATGGCTACCATTGTTCTTTGATATTACTATTGTTTTTTTTTTTATTCCTTTCATCTATACATATATACACCCATTACAGTAATAATTGTCTGTGAGATAAGCATCAGCATAAATAACCATAAAAATGATGTAAAAATTAAATAAATATCCAGAAACCAAGTGGCAGGTGGGGGAATATATTTGACAGAATAAATAATTTTTAATGACTTAAATTAACTAGTCCAATCTTGAAAAAATAAATAAACAGAATATTTTGTAGAGAAAAACTTTTACAGATTAGCTTTAATTAGACTCAAAAAATACTAACTCTTATCATTTCAGAGGGGAGCTTCTTTTCATAATATACAACGTCAAATCAATCCCTGACTTCTTAGAATTATTTGTATGTTGTTTTTATTTATATCAGGTTTGAAACAGTCATTGATAATTACAGGACCCCCCACATCACCCCTTCTAAAATAGTAAAAAAAAAAATTAGGAGTAGATAGATTCACCTATCGTCCAGTTCATACTCCTCCCCAGTCTTTTGAACAAGCGTAGAGGTTTATCCTTTATTTCCTGTTTAGGGTTGGGTTTTTGGTTCCTTCTAAAATCTACTTCCACACTATACTAACATTTCCAATTAAACTCTGAAATGTTATTCACTAATTAAATCTAGAGTTAGCCATTATTTTCCCTTCTTGCCCTTTCTTACACTCAAACATGACCACAAAGTAACCCTCTACCTTGAGTCATTCTTGGGCCTTGTATTATAGGTGAACATTATTTAAAAAAAAAAACATTGTTTTTATCATGACAAATGCCATAGGTAAAGAAAAGTCTAATTCTAATCTACAAAAATTGTTAAAAAACATTCTTCCCTGTTTATTACAAATGAACCAGTTAATTTATTAAATTTTCATTTATTTAAATAAATTAAATATTTCTTTTTGAACATACTTAATTCTTTCTTTTATTTCTTCTCAGATGAGACTGGAATGCCTATCAAACGAGGTCGACGACTCTACAAACCTTGTGGGACATTGGGCAAACAGCCTATGGTCAACTGGGCTGAGCTTCTACCGCCACCCCCTGAGCACCCGCCACCCTGCGAAATGATGTCTCCAACAGATTCACCTGTGAACACCCTGCATCGAAATCCCAACGTCCAGTCCATGAGTGGGGGAGGGCTAATCTCCCCGGTCTCCAAAATTTCGGCTTGCTCATGTCCAGTTCAATATAGTCAGGGTCCATACATTGCCAGAAATAATATCTATTCAGACACAGAGCAGTCAAAATACGCCAAAATCCGGGACACCCATCCGTATTCTACGAAAACTTTGAGTGAGCTCCGGACTCAGTCCCCTCGTGGAGACCTACGGGCTTATTCACCCCGAACCACCGGCTGCATTCAGCAGAGCACCTGCTTGGGACACACTCCACGATGTTGCCATAGTGACTGCGAACAAAGTATATATGGTCCTTCTTTGAAAGGGTACCGGCTCCCTTCAGAGGCTGAAGGAGATTACCGTTATATCAGCAGTGATCCCGAACGTGGGCCAACCCCACCTGTCAGGATGCATTCTACCAATATGGTGGATCTGATCGATGGACCACACATGGACAGGGCTTGCCAATCGTCTTTACCCAGTCTGGCTAATGAGTGCATGCAGTCACCACTTTACCCGGCTAGGTAAGTTCACCCATTTCTCTACCTGCAAAGCATTGCCACAGCATTCTCAGTATGTGCATTTCAAACTCAAGAACAGTTTGACAAGTTTTCATGAAACTAGACGAATAGCAAGAAAGTCTACAGTTTGGATTTCAAGATCTGTAGACAATCTTGTTTATCTGCATTTTCTGCAAATCAACACAAAGATAATTTCACAATTACACTTGGAGACTATTGTTAGCAATCCAACTAAAGAACACTTTGACATGTTTATTTATGACATAGTGAATACCTTCATAAATATCCAAATATTTAACCCATTCACTGCAAATGATGGATTTCTTTTTTGACTTATCTACCTTTTGAGGTTATTTGAAGCCAGAAAATATTTTTAGAGTGTAATAATTTTTTTGAGATAATAATTTACTGATACAAGAACTGAAAATTAACTCATAGCTAGGAGGAGAAGAGGGTATTTGTATCTAAGTGAATAAGACAAACTCGGCTGGAATTGAAACGCAGCTCTCTAATCTCCAATTCCAAACCGTTATCCATTGCACCACACATTCAAGCTCACTGCACCTGGTATTCCCAAGTGGTCATCCATCTAGATACTGACCAGGCTTGCCATTGCTTAACTTTGGTGATCATACAAGAATCAGTGTTGCAATATATGGCCGTAAGCCTGTGAATAACAGAAATTCCTGCTACAGTTATTGCTGTTCATTACTTCTAATCATTTCTCAGACTCTTACATGTTTGTTGTAACCTAGAAAGAGTTACTAAATGAGGAATAACCAAAAAGCAGAGGTTGGAAATGAAATGGTAATCTTTATAACATCAACAAAGTACAATACTCACCAGTAGCATGAAGTAGGTAAACCACTGCTAGTGGTAGACTGTTTACACAGGATATTACCCTCACTTACAATAGTGTCCAATGTATTTATGAGGATTGGGACATACCCATTAGTGTTCATAGGTACAGTATATAACAACATTTTATTTTGAACGATAAATACAAATCAAATGCTTTTGATTCCAAAAGAGTGAAAATTATTGAAACAAAAAAGAACAACTAAAAACTTGTTCATAAAATCTCAATTCTACGAATATATATATATATATATATATATATATATTGTAAGCAGCATTAAATCAAGACTGTCATTCCCGTATGGGCCTGTACAGCCATAACAGATGCTGCACTGCCACCAGCAGCTGAGGCATAACTCTTTGGGCATAGATCCACGGTTTCTCAAGATTGACTAATGCCACACACTCATACAATTAAAAAGCAGCATTAAATGTTTTGTTCTTCAAAAATATTTCATCAGTTCTAAAATAAGGTTTTTATTGATGGAATTATATACATATATTTTTATAGGGAGAGGTAATGAAATACAACAAATGTTGGTTATAATTATACATCAAGAGAAATGCTGAAGATGTGGGGATAATAAAGTAAATTTAAAATTTTTGGCATCTGATGTGTGACTATAGAGATATAGTTTAACTGACTCTTCATTCAGCTTCCCATCACCATTGTCTTTAAATATCCTACATATTTCCAATTTGTTATTCAATTACCTGTCATTAGTCTGATATGCCTGAAATTTGCATTAAAGAATGAAACAGACTGTCGCCACTTGGTGTTCAGCTCATTATATATGATATGCTCTATCCCTGATATTAAGCACTTTTACCCATAAATACCTTTTATATATATATATATATATATATATATATATATATATATATAAAGGACACTGAAGTCATTTTTTAATGTTATATGAGGACCCAGCAGCTGAGTTCTTAGAACTGAACAACCAAACTACTCACATATGATGTGATGAAAGCTTGTGCAGAACCAATCACATGTTTTTGAAAAGCTGAATACAGAGAACTGGTGCACAGTGTATCATAAGGTTCTCTAACAACCCTCATCAGGTTTTGAATTCAGAGTTGTTGTTTTCTTAGACTGGTTGCCACCCAAGGCTATAGGACCCAATCTGTCCTGCAATTTACTCATTACTGGTGGGGGAGGTGGTTTGCCAAGGGTATTTGCATGTAAGTAAATGTAACAAACTTAACTCTCTAATTCTTCGATCGAACCCACTATCCATTACTCCACCATATATATATGTATAAAAACAAATTAAAATAAAAATTATCTCCCAACTTCAATTTTCAAAGAAATTAATCCACTCATCAGGGATTAAAAAGATCAAAATTGAATTTATCAATGGATATAACAATATGAATAAAGACACAAGGAAAACTTATCTTAGTCAACACATTATGTCCTCTGAGGGACTTTATCAAAGTGGAACATGTCGACTAATATAAGTTTTTCATTTTTATGCCCTATCTGAAATTTTAACATAACATTATGTAAAAGAAATGATATAAAAAGAAATGTTAATTTTTGATGTCAACTTATTTTAAATTAGTTCTTTCTTCAGGATGTTATTGTATGACTTAATCTAATCAGGTCATTTTTCTGTTATAAAAAGGAATTTGTATAATGAAAATCTTAAGTGAATAAATATTGTAAATTATTCTATTTATTGTTTATTGGATTCTGGATACAATTATATTATCAGAATATGCAAAATTATATTTTATATTATTGGGCAATAAATTTTTTCTATTATATATATATATATATATATATATATATATACAAGCTATTTATATAAATAATGATATTGGGCTGGATTTATTTAATGTATAAAAAATTAAATTCCTCTTTATGATCAAGTATTTAGACACAGCAAATTGTAACAATGGAGTAAGGATGAAAGAATAAGGATGACTATATTTTAGCACCAAATTCATTCAATACCCACATTCAGAGGCAAGTTTTTGCCTTTTCTTATTGCTGCCCACTGACTTTACTACTACTTCATAGCTTTACTTAACATTTGTTCTTTAAACAAAAATATTTCTGACATTAGGAAAAAAACATTTCTGATTTAACTATCAAGTTTTACAATTTTGTTCATGAGTTTTGTCATTTGTAAAGAATTAAAACAAGCATTATTTATAAAATAGGGCTATTGAATGCATAATGTAAATACATTGTATTTTGCATTGTCAAATCAGAAAGAAAGGGATTGTCAAGAATTGCTGTAAACATTACTGAAAGAATAGAGCAAGTATACATTCACTAATTTTAAGAACTTTGTGAAATTGAGTAACTTTTTGTTGAATTAAGTGTTTCATGCTCAAAAGATTCTAACATAAGTGAACTGCAGATATATTTCAAAAGTGTTTTAATCTGTGATTTATTAATTTAATGAGTTCAATTTTGTAATTGGAGATAATTACTTGGTGTCCAGCAAAGATAAAAATATTTGTAAATTTGACTCATTTCTGCCATTCTAATATTGAGGAGCTCCCTAAAAGATTCTCTGAAAATGTCAAAAGGATCATTGTTTGTATCACAAGAAATAACATTCTTACTTGGAGCAAAACTAATTGATAATGAGACGATATATGGTTTAAAATATTTAAAAAAATATAGTGTTTATATTTGTGTGTGTGTGTGTGTTTGTGCATGTAAAATTAATATTAAAAAAGGTTTGTCACTTAGCTGATTGGTGTTACCTTCAGCATCCCAACTCCAGAGTTTCATAGACAGACCCTCCAGAAATCACTGTTTACTTATCAGTATACCAGCAATTATATATATATATATATATATATATGTGTGTGTGTGTGTGTTTTAATTTGAATTTATCTTGGCCAGCAAATACCAAGACATAGCTAATCAAGGCATCTTCCAAAAAAGTTTGCTGACCCCTAAACAGCAAAAACTCCTCTCAAATATAGCTTTTTTCTTTCATCTCTATCAAATATCTGTAAACTTGCTTTATTCTTTAATGGCACAAAATGGAGGATTATCAAATTAAGTTGATGAAAAATACTTGCAGTTTTTAATCACTAATTGAAAGCAGTCTATCTCAGAATTAAATTTATAAATTTAAATAAGAACCATTAGATTGTAGGCATTGTTGTCAACAAGAAAGAAAGCTAGAGATTCTGGGAGAATAAAGTTCTGATATTCAGGAAGCAATGAAATTCTTTGAAGGCATTTTGAGCCGCTACCTCATTGTTGAAGACTATCTTTAGCAGAAAATTGTCAAGATGCTTGAAAATGGAGTAGTTACTTGGAGAGAGGTCTAATGAGTAAACTGGTTAGGGTTTTCAAGGTCAGTTCATTCAATTTTTGTAGCCATTTGTGAGACATGTAATCAGGAATTGTTCCAGAGAAGTGGTTCGTTCTGAATGGCCAATGTCAGACAATCAATGCACTTCTTTGTTTTAATTTTATTGATTTCTTGGGACAATCTCTTTGTCAGCATTGTTGTAGATAAATTCTACAACAATTTTACAGAATCCACTTTTGCCACAAGTCACAAAGAAATGGATCATCTTTGTTGTACAAAAGAAATGCAGAACAAATCTCATAATGGTAAATTCCTTTTATTTTTGTTCATCTCACGCATTTTCCAAAATGTTTTTAATTTTCCATTTTGGTGTAATGTAGAATGACTGCTGAATTGTCACTATTTAATTCTTCTGCATCTCTGAAGTTGTTTCATGTGGGATCATTTCAATAATGGCCCTCAATTGGTTGCTGTCAATTGCAGAAGGACATCCACATCTTCAAAGCTCTCATTTCTATTACAAAAGTTCCACAATAAATGTCTGTTGATGGTCCACTAGCAAAATAATTGGTTGCTATTGCATACAATAAAATCACAGAAATTTGCTTTGTTTCCATCTTTGACAATCAAAATTAAACAAATGAACAATGAGAACAAAACCATAAAGCAGAAATCAAGATTAGAGTTTCTTACAAAATAAACATCAAAGTTTAAAAACTACAATTGTATAGACAGACCTGTGCCTCATCGAGTGAGATTAATTAAAAATGTATGTGTGTACACACACATTTATATAAAAGATGAAAGACAATGGTGAAAAACGTCAGGAAATATTCCTTTTTCTATGTCCCAAGCTCCTTGATGTTACACAATATGTGGACTTCTATGCAGGTCACTAGTGGGATTGAATTGTTACGTATGGCACAAACATAAAAACTGAATGAGGTTGTCAGATCCTCATACATTGAAATCAGTGGGAGAGTCCATCATATACATATATATCACATTCATGAATTAGATTCAAACTGATAAAGATGTTACCTTAACAGTCATTTACAATATTAAAAGATTACTATCAGTAAACTGTTATATTTTAAAAAATTCTTTTAATGTGTTCTCTATGAATGTGTTAATAAATACAGTACTTAAGTTATATTAAATACCTAAATTATTTGTAAAAGAGTTAAATATTTAAATTGCTAGCAAGCATCAAATTAATTTCTTTGTGTTTTTTTTTTGAACATTTAAACTACTATCAAACATTAAAATCTATTTTTTTTACATAAATTGCTAAAAATATACCACCCCTCTTTTTCCTATGTAAAAACTAATTACAGCTTCTTTCTCTTTACTTCCCCCTTCTTTCTTTTTTCTTTTTCTCTCTTCCCCCCTCCCATTTCAATATATCACTTCCATTAAGTTAACCATTTAAATAGGTCATGTAAGATGCTGTGTAATATAAATTTGATCAGGACATTAGTTCAAATAACTTATCAAATAAGATACAAACTTGTCCTTGTTATTGACATGCTTACTGAAATCTGAAATTATTTTATAAAATTTTAATTTAATGTTGCAAATTTTGTTCTCTTGGTGTTACTATGACAACAGCAACTGATTCATTCTTCAGCCTTCATATAATCAATAGAAAAAAAGCCTTGTTTATCTAAAAATGGTAGGGATAAAGGTTTGTAATATACCAACAAATGTGAGGATAGTGCCACATTTATTGATCAGAAAATGGAATTAGCAAACCAGATTTAAATTCTGGGCTCATCTGTTACATTCACTTAGCACAAATTCCCTTGAGAAGAGCATGAATGTGTGTTTTGTACTCCCTTCCACCTAGCTATATGTTAAATAGCTGGGTAGACTTGGTTCTCAATCCTTGATTGGCAACCAGTGTAAGAGAAGGAAAACTCTGAATTTAGTAGTCAATGGGTAACCACTCTTATCTTTTCAAAAGACTGTATGGCAATTCACAGATAATAAAGGAATATCTTTGGAGAGTCTACATCTGGAAGGGATATGACATTAAAAATATATACACCAACATGATCAGTCCAGTAAAACAATGCTAGATATACACAGTTACTGCCATCCATGGTTCTAGAGTATCCCAATCTATTCACAAAGGAGTTTCCAACATCTTTGTCTTATCAAGTAAACACAATGTTGAAATCTATCCTAGACTGATGTCTGAAGTAACAAGATAACAAAGGAATTCAATTGGGAAATTTCAAATTTGAAATGTTAATGATTTTTTCTCAAGCTGCATGTTTGATGTTTTTATCCATTTTTATAATAATTATCCAATTTTTTTTTTCTTTTATCCCCTCAGGTTGGAGGTAACAGCAAGCGGCCCTCATCTAAATGTTGATTTTGAGGGTTACTCACACAACCCAGACTCACCGGTTTCAGAAATACCAGATTACGCTGGTGAGTCAGATCTGGACTCTGTTCATCTCCAGTGTGGTGGCTTCAGTGAAGAGGACAGCAACGGAGAGGGGCTAAATGAGGGATATGAAAGTGTGACAGGTATTTCACGGACCGTTACAGACATCCGGACTAAAACCTCCACACCCTCAACCCTACCTTTTGATGAATGATGCTTATTAAAACAAAAATAATAATAATATTAATAATAACAACAATAATAATAAAATTCACTTTTATCGTTTTGTTATCTTGAAGATTTTGATCTTAATTTCTTTATATGAATTATAATCGCAATACAAGAATTTGTTTGAGTTGCACCTAAAAGGCATTTTGAGATGAAAATTAATCCCACTAACTAAAAGGGGTTTTTAGACTTTGGGTTTAGACATTAGAAAATAAATGAATCAGAAGTTCTTTTTGACAGATGAAAGATATTAAATACTACATTTTCCTTTTTTTAAATCAGATTTTAAAATAATGAAATATTTCTTTCAATCTATAAGGTTAAAACTGACTGTCTGAATAATGTTATTTTTAGAAATTTTCATTAGTTATTTTTTTTGACCTAAGCAAATAAAATACCTAATAGCATGAAAAATAATATAATAAAAATTCATAAAATGGTGCATTATGATTGATCAACAAATCTAACCAATGAAATTAACAAGTTTCCAAGTGTCAATGCAGAAGTCAGTTTTCACTGTTGCCTGGTTCAGTTCAGCCTCAATATAGTTGATGTCTATCAATTCAACTATATCCAGCAAGGTCATCCAATTATCTCCATTTGGTTGCATTTTTAAATGAAGTTGAAGCAACTCTCTGCAGGTACAATACTTTGAATAATTTATCATTTGATATCAAAGGATGCTAGAAAATCTAAAAACAGAAATTGTTCTTATGGCAATTTCATTAGTGGAATATTGTACTGAATTTGCCAGGACTTTAACCTTTATACATCTTCTGATATACAAGTTTATATCTAAATAATTTCCACAAACAATTGTGTCTTCATTACTTTAATAAACAGCAGCTTGTGGCAAAATTCTCTTTCAGTTCCATCCAATCTCAGTGCCTGGTTTGTGATATCCATTGACTCAAGATCATGTATAATAAAGGAAAATTCTGACTTCACCAGAAAGCTTGCTTTTCTCCAGCTTGTACTTGTAAAATCTATAATATCTCCATTTTATCAACATTGATAAACTATGTTACTTGTTAGTCAGAAAATATGAGGGTGGATCAATAAGTCCAAAGCCTGACAAAGTATTAGCTCTATTTTGATCTGAAATTTTCACCGTATAATGTTCAATGTATGTAATTAATATTCACCACTAAATTGAGTGCATTGACAAGAAACAAGATTATGTTGAAAAATATTTGTTGTTTAAAATAAATGATTTTCATCAATAGGCTATGAACTTATTGATGCATCTATGTATATTGATCAAAATATTACAATTAACCCATTGTACCCATTCGGTCATAAAAAGAAAAAACTATTAAACCTTTTCTCATCCACTTGGAAATAATTCAGCTGCTGAAGTCAAATCTGAACTCTGCAATTAAGATTTTAATTTCTGTTTTTTTTTATTCTAAAAAAAAAAAAAAAAAAAAGATTATTTTTAATAATTGCCAGTTCTTCAGTTTCAAATAAAGGAAAATTAAATTTGAAAAAAATAATGAAATAAAGATATTAAAAAGTATCATTATAAACATCATTGACTGGAAATATTTATTATTCCACCCTAACTACTCTACTGTCCTTGCTTTAAAAAATAAAAAGTCAGTCTTGTCCATTTTTCTTCCTTTGGAAGAACCAACATGTAAAGTACTCTACTAATGTTAACATTTAACAGTAACTAACACATCTAAGAAATTGACCAACAATCTTTGCTTATAAAGTGTTATTGACACTTGAAGAATCACTTAACCTTTTCAATAATTCCCAAAATGAATGAAATTCAGTTCATTTTAGCAAAACATGGCTGAATAAACAAAAGTTGTTATATCAATTGTCATAAATGACAACGGATATAACAGCTCTTATTTTTCTAACCTTAGCCCTAATTAAAGCAACCATGAACAGTCTAGTCACCCTCAACTCCTCAATTGTTTCCTAGATTAACAAATATGACCAGCATTGAGAGTGAGAACGACACTTGACTTCAGCTGGGTTAGGATTTCTAAGCATACATTTGAGACAGAGGCTGATTTGAAACCCTGTCTTTTAATAGCTGAAAATTACTCTTTGCCTCTTAACAACAGCAGAACTAAAGACAGCATGAAGAGGTTAATAAAAAAAAAATAGTATCAGTGCCAAAAATATTTCTTCCTTTTTTTATGGTAGGGTTAAAGGAAAGAGTCTTATATATTCAACAGTTTGACAAATGGTAAAAATAAATCCTGAATGCTTTTAAAAGCAATAACAGATGACAACCATTTTTTAATGAATTGGAAGAATCTTAAAACCAAGTTCTCTCCAAAGTTTCAACTAATAAGCTTGTTGACAAAAAGTACACTAAAAAGAATTTTTTAAATTAAATTTTACATTATAAAGTGTATATATTCTGTCATGTCTATATTCAAAAGGTACAATAACAAAAAAATGACATATTCAAGGACTCAGTGTCAGTAAAATTTGTTTTAACATGAGAAACAGAACTGACATATTTACCAAAACGGCCATGTTATTCATTAAAGAAAAAATATTGTCTAGTCTATCAAATCTTATTGATCAAGAAAAGTAACATTTTTACCAAATGAGCCACATCCTTTGCTCCCAAAGTGAAAAAATTCCAATAAAACTTGGCATATTTTATATTGAGTAGAACCAAATAATTACCATAGAACTTTGTTCAGATGGGCCAGTTCTTGTTTTAGGCACCATTTATGTAACAATCTATGAAACTAGAGGGAAAAAAATTCCCTGAATATAAAATATTCCTTTAAACTTTTTTTTTTTATTAAAATTCCCTTTATTGAGCATTAAGGAAATAACTTGGCAGTTTTTATGGAAATCCTTGACCAAACCTCATTCCCTGCATTGAATATTTCAATCTCAATCTTTCCTGGAATGTCTGTAACAGAAGTGAGAGTCTTCTTCTGGCTCGACTCCTGTTGCTCCCCCCATTCACTGAATGTTTTCTTTCTTAAACATTTTTCTTTTTTTCTTTTTACTGCTATCATGTAACTGTATACTAACCTGTCCATTTTGAAAAACTGTCAGGAGTTTGTTCATTTATTTGGCATATAAACCAAAGTCTTAAACATATAAAAAAAAATGATTCCAAGAGGTATTCAGTCTAGTATCCTTTTCGTGGTTGTTTTTAATACAAAGGACTGCATAAGTTGGCTTAGAGTGAAGAATTCAACATAATGTGTAGACCTGTGTTCAATGGAAAAAAAAAAAACAGCTATTAGGGTCTTCCATAGCTGAGAAATTACATTGTCAATGTTTTATAAATGTACTGAGAAAATTAGTTTATATGTTGCTAGATTTTTTCTTTTCTTGTCATTTTTTTCTTCTTTTTAATTTGACTGAATTTGCCTCTGTCATGAAGAATATCTGTTTCCAGATCATTCACCATTAAAGAAAAGAACCTCAGCTGGAAAAGAAAATGAAGATATTGGTCCAAATAATTCTTGAAATAATGATAATAGCTCATTTAGACAATGAAGAAATCTGAAAAATGCATCTATTAAAATGAGATCAAAACAACCAAGATAGGGATACTAGTTTAAATAATTAATGGAAGCCTGAAGAATACATCTGCTAAAAAAAAAAAAAAAAAAATATTAGTCTGAATAATTCAAAACTGAATTAAGCAGAAAGATTTATAAGAATAAATATTGAAAAGAAATTCTTCAAAATGTAACATAAAAAAGTGACTCAAATATAAAAGAATAAAAGACCATACTATATTTACCTGCTTTTAAAAGAGACATTTTACAAAGGTATATTTTTTGGCGAGGCCAATAATTTATCTCAATTCATTCTATCAGCCTCCTAAAACTGAATGCAATATAATCTTTGAATTATTCAGTTTTTTCTTTTTAAAATCCCAGCCTTCTTTAGACTTGCACTTTTTTTAAGTTCAACTTTTTGGGACAACAATTAAGGTACACAAATTCATTAAATTGTATATAAAATGTCAGAGTCTCCTCTCTGAGTACCCCATACTTATAACAGCCAAGCTAAGCTTTGTAAATACCTGTCAGATATTAAAATCAAAAGCTTATTTCACAAAGCTTGCATGTCTTGCCAAGAAAAAAAATGCTAAATTTGAGTTCATTATTCTTGTTTCATTCAAGTTGGTATACAAATACATTCTAATACAAATTTGAATTCTTTTTTTTCAAAATTGATTGAATATTATATGCACGTTTTGAAACTGTTTTCCTAAGAAAAATTATATTTATGCAATTCCATCAACAAAAGCATCTAAAATTAAGATGAAAGAAGTACTAGTCAAAAATTAATAATGGCTGACAGTGGTTCATGTAATGAAAAATAAAATTTGAGATAACCCTGAATTGTTTTGAGATTCTAAGATGAATTATTTTTTATTATACCACATTTTTATTTTTGTCTTGTTTTTTCATTTTTATTTACTTATTTTTGGTTGCTTTTTATCATGTATTTAAATAATTTTTTTTCCACACAATTTGTTTGCAAAAATTCAGGACAAAGAAATAGTTTTAAACAAGACAAAATGTTATCCCATCCCCCCGCCTTCAGAAAGTTTGTGATCTCAGAGCCACACCTATACATCTAATCATTGAAGTCATTATTATTAGAGTTCTTTTATCTCCAATATTTCTACTATTGGTTTCCATTAAGACTTTATTCCATGATGTATTGTTGACTAACAAGTAATAATTACAGGTTCAAAAATCATTTCTATTTATTCATGTATTCAATTAATATTTCATATAACTTGATAATAGACAGGATCAATAATATTAATAACAATCTATGTACATATGTTCCTCCATGGGTG